ATGCCTCCCAGAGCTCCTCTGGGGCTTGAGATAACCCATGTAGAGGGCCTGGCACCTGGTAGTAGTAGGCAAGCAGCAAAATTTGGTTTCTATCCTCTTTCCCCTTCCACTGGGCTTGAATGGAACAGGGGAATGGCATGGGTTAATCAAAGTTAATAGGGTTTCTTCCTGATCTTCCTCCCAACCCCCAGTCCTTACCTCACCCCTTGTATACTTACTGTTATCTTTCATCTCTCTAGCACCCCTTGGCCCCTAACCGGATCACTGGCTCACCAGCTTACTGCCCTTTCATTCTTTCAAGTATCAACTCTGGCCCTTATCACCCATCTCAGGAAGCATCTCATAACCCTGGTAAGTTAAAGACCTTAAGGCAGCGGTTCTCAACCTGTGGGTCACGACCCCTGTGGGGGTTGAACGACCCTTTCACAGGGGTCACCTAAGACCATCGTGTTTTATATGTGTCATATATGTGTTTTATAATTACACTAGAGGCCTGTTGCATGAAAAGAAAAGATTCGTGCAATAGGCCTTCCCTCCCCCTGGCTGCCGGCACCGGTTTTCCTCCGGCACCCGGGACCCAGGCCTTCGCTCTGGCCGGAGCTGCCTTCAAGCCTTCCCTGCTCTGGCTGGAGCCGCCTTCAGTCTTCTCCGAACGCGCCTACGTATGCAAATTAACCGCCATCTTTGTTGGCAGTTAATTTGCCTATCTCGCTGATTAGCCAATGGGAGGCGTAGCGAAGGTATGGTCAACTACCATGTTTGTCTATTATTAGATAGCATATTGTTTTTGTGATTAATCACTATGCTTTAATTACGTTCAATTTGTAACAATGAAATTGGGGGTCACCACAACATGAGGAACTGTATTAAAGGGTCGCGCATTAGGAAGGTTGAAAACCACTGCTTTAAGACCCCAGACCCATTTAACAAAGCCCTTGTCCTTTCCTGAATAATGTCTTTTCCCATCTTTGTAAGCTCTCTCCCTTAAGGGCCAAACCCTGTTCAGTGGTCATTGATGAACAAGAGAAGGAAGAAAACAAGAAACAAAACACTCACAAACTTTAAGATCTGGCTCAATTATATTTGCCAGGCGTTTTATTTTTTCTAAAAACAATAAAAAAAAATCAACTTTAAAAAGAAACATGTATTTAAATAAAAAAAATTATGGATTATAATACATTCAGATTTTGTATAATTGCTATAAAGTTCTTATTAAAGCTATTTACACGGCAAAATTGGGTAAACCCAATTGAGATTAAAAAAAAAATTCTTTTAAATACAAATTTGTTAAAGGAGGGGGGGGGAGGGGGAGGATGGCAAGCATAAAAAATGTTATTTTATGCCCAAAGTTCATTTGAGGCAGTTTACATGATGGCTGAATCTGTCAGTCTGAAGACCCGGCCACGGTTGTGCGGTTTGCACTTGACCATGCAGTTGCAACAAGTTCGTGTCTAATGAACTCTTCGGCGATGCCAGGAGGAACCTTCTCCCGTACTTTCCCTCCGTCACAGCGGGGAAGCCGCGAGGGATTCCAGTTCCTCCCGCCCCTAGGTCAAGTTTTATGCACAAGAGTTCCGTAGCTGTTCGAGTTTGTGTTTCAACTGTTCCCGTCGTTTCCGCAAGCAGTCCTTTTCCGAAAGGAGCTTGTGCTCCTCCCCTTGGATGGCCAGGATGTAGGCGGTGGCCTTTTTAAGGATAACGACCTTGGGGGCCTTTTCGTTGTTTTCCAACTCGGGGATCTGGTCGCGCAGGGCAAAGAAGCTGCGTTTCAGCTCATTCCTCCGCTGGCGCTCCAGGACGTTGTGTGTCCGCCTCTTGTCGTTCTCCTCCGTGTCCGAGGACCTGGGGCTGGCACATTTGCGGTTGTTGCTGATCTGTTTCAGGACGCGGCCACTGTCCAACTTAGCCCGCTTGGCGGGGGGATAGTCCTTCCTGGTGACGGGGGGCGCCGCGTAATTGTGCTGATGGGTGGACACGTGGCATCTCTTAAGGACCAGCGGGCTGTGAGGCGGTTTGCTGTGACCTCCCGAAGAGGGTGACCCTGATTCTGACCTTCTGGCGGAGGGCTGCCTCTTTTCCACAGAAACAACATCAATTTCTTCCTCATCCTCTTGTTCTTCCTCTGTCAGAAAGGAAAGAGAAATCACCTGGTTAGCGACAACACTGCCTTCCTTAACCAATGGCTTCGTTCAATGAACGCTATGGAAATATAAGGCATTATTATATGAGGAAGGACCAAAGTTATCCCCAGAGAGCAAACTAGCCAATCATCCCTGCTCTTCCTCCCACGAAGGCAGAATGACAGCTGGGTTTATGGCACAGGTAAGAAAATTACCATTTACCAGGATCCCACATGGGTGCCAATTCTTACCTAAGACTTAATGAGGCTTTGGACACACCCAGAGCAAAGCACATTCCCAAGCACCTCCTATTTTTAAGGGACTTTACCAAGAACCCATGCTGCAAAGGAGAGCTGCAAATCTCTTGCTATGAATTTAGCAACTCCCTATTTTACTGGAAGTGCGAAAAGAAAAAAAAAAATCTTGCAGCTTTGCCAAAAGCCCTAGGGGATGGGGGAAGGAAGAAAGTTCAATTTGGGGAAAGGAGCTGCTTTTAAACGTTCAAAAAAGAGGCTGAAAAGATCCTAAGTTCTCAGCTCATTCGCCCTGAGGCACTTTCACTCCTTCGCAGCCCAGGTGGGAGGGAGACTGCCCCCCTGCCCACAGCCCC